TTGAAGATCGAAGCAAGATAGCATCAACATATATTTGAATAAAGAGTATTTCATATCCTATCCTTTTCAAAAAGAGAGTTATGTCTACACTTCCTTTTACAAATGATTTCTCTAATAGGAAAGTGCTTAACCTCTCATATCAAACCTTAGGTGTCTATTTTAGTCTATATAATACTTTTTTTAATTTAAACGCATGATTAGAGAATTTAGAATTTTTAAAACTTAGAAGTTGCTCAATATAAATATCCTCTTATATTACCCCAGTCAAAAAGGTATTCTTAACATCCATTTGATATAATTTAAAATCTTTAAAATAGGCTAAGGCTAATAAAATCTTAATTACTTCAAGTCTGGCTATAGAGGCAAAAGTCTCTTCAAAATCAATCCATTCTATTTGATTATACCCCCTAGCCATCAATCTTACCTTATTTCTAATCACAATTCTTAAATCATTCATTTTATTTTTGAATACTTACTTAGTTCTAATAACACTTTGATCCTTTAGCCTTTCAATCAATTCTCAAATATCATTTCTTACTAATTGATTTAACTCTTCTTGTATGGCCAAAATTCAAAATTTATCCAAAATTTCTTGATTTATATTTATGGGTTCAACTATCAATATAAAGGTAGAATGATTCACTTTTTAGCTAAGTCCAAGCATAATCCTAATACCCTCACTGGTTCACCTAAAATTAATTCCTTGGGGTGATTTTTAAAAAAATTTCATTCCCTAGGCAAAGGGTTTTCTTTTCCAATATCTTCTTCTAAATTTATCTTTTCAATTCCTTAGGAGTTATGTTCAATATAATCCTCTTCCAACCTTGACTCTTCCAAAATGCTATATTTATCAAACATAATATGTGTGGTCTCCTCAATTACCAAGGATCCAAGAAAAATTCATTCATTCATATTTTGTATCAAATTATTCTAAAGGAGTTTTTCCATTATTATGAATGAATATCTTATATCCAAAAATATGCAAATATGACAAATTTGGTGTTCTCCCCTTAAAAATTTCATAGAATGTTTTATTCAATTTTGATATAATATTCATCATATTTAGAACATATCAAGTTGTACTAACTGCTTCAGCTCAAAAATATTTTGAAAATGAGTATTCTGCCAACATGGCTTTAGCGGCTTCAATTAAAGGAATAAAATGATGACTTCATCTATTTTCCTAATTGACATACTTCACGCAGGTAATCCTCAATAAGTCTAGTTTGGGTATTCCTCTAACAAGTTTTTTTAGGTAACTTTTCTAAGATTTTTCATATTTACGTGACAAAATCTCTTATGTCATAACCATGATTCATCAATAATTATTTTTAGACAAAATACATTAAAAAATTTAATATAATTCAAATCAAACATGTATATATTATTTACTCTAGTTCCATAAAAAACATTAATTCCATTTTGACTTATTATGCATCTAGTGAAAAAAAAATTTTTACACTATAACCCTTATCACATTGCTGATTAATACTCAACAAGTTGTGCTTTAAGCTTTCTAAAAGTAAAATATTTTCGATAAAAAAATTGTTCAAGTTTCTAATCATACATGTGCCTACCACTTTCCTAGTGGTATTATCTCCCAATATAAGCTTACCTCCATTCCTGGCATCCAAGGATATGAATTATATAGTGTCTCCAATTATATGCTTCAAATATCCACTATTCAGGTACCAAATACTTTCACAAGATCTTGTATGAGATCATTTCTATAAGATAATCAAATATTAGTCTTAGAAACTCAAATAAGTTTGAGTTCTCCTCTTAACAAAATTAATCTAGATGCATATTTGATATGCTTTATTTTATGCATATTTTGTCTCCACATTAGATATTATTTACTATAAATAGTGCAAGTGTGAGATATATGGTCAAATATTCTATAAGAAAAACATTTAACTACGGGAATAGAATTTATTAATCTACGTGAGTTAAACTATTTTTTCCTAGGTTTTAAATTTTTTTGCTTCTGATCAGGATTAAAAAATTATGTAGGTGTGGGTAGAATCCTATTTTTCTCAAGTGATTTTAATTCAATTTTAAAAAAAGAGTTAGCACTTTCTAAAATAGTATTGTCAAGTTTTAAATAGTGCTCTCTATTATTAGATTCATTCATAAATATTTTAAGACTATTTTCAAATTTAGTGTGAGATGATTTCAATAGTTCATATTATTTGTTTAATTCATCAAACTCATCCAAAAGTTTTGTGATTGCTATCAATCAGTATGTGATCTTTCCTAAGAATTTCATGCTCTTTTTGTAATTCTAAAAATTCAATGTTCACCGCTCGTGGGGTACAAACGCAGAGGGTACGGCCGCACTATCCCGTAGGACAAAACGATCGTAGACCTCTACACTCGACATAAACAGGTCGATGGAATGCCAAATTGGATCGTGCATACCACTAACCATTGAGGATAGAGGCTTTCACCAATACACATCGATAGCAATATACACGACCCAGTCACAGGTTTTCGTCATCCGATACAACAGTTCGAATGGGGTAGTAGATGTGGGACCGAGTTTCCCACGGGCGCAAGCCCCCGTGGTTAATTACATCCCAGGACGGAACCCGAGAAAACTCTCGATAAATGATCATACATTATCCTTCCCAAAAGTGGGATAGGCACAGGGGCATAGACTAAGAAGTCCTACTCATAAGGAAGAAATGTCTCAAAGAGGCTCAATCAACATGCGTGGCTTATACTAGCATTCGGAGGCTCTATGACACTATACAGAAACTGGAAAAGAAAATTAAGCACTCAATCACATGCGTGAGAGGAGAGATAGAGGTGGCATCATCTCGTGACGCAAATAAGTAGGATTTATAGTCCCTGAAAGGAAGGGACCTACCTACTATTTAAGGCATACTACGAGACCGAATGTAGTAGTCTCGAATCCTAAATCTAGGTTGGGCTTAGTGTTATACGAGACACTAAGACCCGTGTCCTAGCTAATGTAGTGCAAAATCTGGACTTACCCCGACCCGGATTGGGGAGCCAGCTAACCACCTAATCGCTTTAAAACCATGTTATCAAGTCAGTTATGAAAGATGTGTGGGAGGTACAATTTTTGGAAGTAGGACCGATATCTAGAGAGTTTCCAAAGTGGTATTGGACTTATGTGGGTCAGATGCTCCTAGCTAATGCAATTAAATTTTATTTAGTTGGTTACTAATGCAATGCATGCTAGTTGAAATGTCAGCTCATGAATGTTATAGAATTTTAAAAATAGGCTTATAGAAAATAATTTTTTTGAAAAGACTGGGTCTCCCTAGGTCCGGCACTTAATCTTCATAGGCCAGATTATCCGAACTCTACCCGCAAGCAGAGAGATGTCTTATAGCAAGGAAAGAATAATGCAGTAATATGCATGCAACCCCGGACGATTCCGATAGTTCCCTAGGTTCGTTAGATTTCTATGTTATTTAAATCTTAAAATTTTGTAAGATTAGTTATGAGTAGAAAAAATTTATAATCCTTAAAAGAGCCTAACGAAAATCCAGGCGAAAGCAAAAACGGGTGGAGTAGATGAAAGGTTTTTCTAGAAAATTCTAAAATAAAATAAAAATTAATTAATTAATATAATTTTTGGAATTTTAAGAGACAAATTAATTATCCTCATTTAATATATAGATATATATAAGAATTTGAAAAGCCACTCTAGAATTTTCTAAATTTTTTTATTAGGGAATTTAAAAAGTAAAAAATAAACTCTAATAATAATAAGCTAATTTAATATTAATATATATTAGTTATTTCTAATGAGTAGGCTGCTATTTTATATTAATTATTTATAATTAATATGAGGCAGTTGCTATTTCATATATGGGTCTTTTAGCCTTCCCATTAATTAATCTATTAATAAATTGTTACGAGTTATCAATTAAGTATGAGGGGGATGAACTAAATATATTTATATATTCAATATTTAACAAAAAGTTTAATTATTCCATATAATTATAGATAAAATATATGTTATCTGAACTATATCATATATAACATATAACTTATATTTAATCATATTAGTTATGATTTGATCACTTAATAATATATTTTTGGACTTTGGTATGAATATATGATATCATAACTATCATAATTAATCAAGGATAACTATCAAAATACTCCTTGAAAATATTAAATATATTATTTGGTCTAATTTTATTATGGCCGCAATGTTGATATGCGATCTTATTTGATCTAATGACATAGGATATTATCCGTAATATTATCGATATTATCACAGATATATCAAAATTATTCCACAAAAGTATGAGAATCATCTATTTGAGCAAATATGAATCAAAAGTCCCAATTTATTCTAGGTTTAACATTCAGGAGACAGTAAAGAATCATAATAATAATTATCAGTCACAAGATGCTCGAAAGGTACAAATATATATTTTTGGACAATACAAGTTTCGTTGTCCAAAAATAGGGAGCAACTGATATGTCACCAAAAATAATCTTAATCAAACACAAATCTCGATGTAAATATGAGATTGAGGCATCAAAAATTATCATGGGGACCATCTAAACTTTTATTTAAGCAAACTTATAGTCGAACTGAATGTCTTGGAAAGACGAACTGATCAACACCAAATCCAGCCAGATTTGAGCCCAAATCAGCCCAAATCAAGAATTAAGAGCATATTTGGAAGGTTCAAAGTATAATTTGGATTACCAAACTAATTCCGAACATGACATGCTTATAATCAAATCGAGCGACTAGGCGTGACAAATCCAACAAGCCCAAGATCATTGAATTCTGATATTATTAAGACATTCAAATGCCTAATAAACGATCAATGATCAAGGGGATCAATATCGGCCATCCATTCAAATCATTCCAATTTTGACCTTGATCATCAACATATTTACAAGTCATGTCACTCTCAAAAAACTATAAATAGCTCCCACTCTTCTCATGAGATAAAGGAGAGAAGAAGGAAATGAAGGGAGGAGTTTGGGAGCTCTCTTGCCACCGACAACCGCCGAAGTCTTCTCGAACACCATCGAACTTCAACCAATCCATCGACCACTGCCGAAACTCTTCCCCACCACCGCCGGAGTTCTTGCCAGAGTTCCTCTCAGCCACCATCGGTGTTCCTCCCGGCCACCGCCAGAGTTCTTCCCGACCACCAACGGACTTCCGCCAGTCCATTGACCACCGCTGGAGTTCTTCCTAACCACCACTAGACTTTCGCCAGTCTACCACCGTCGAACTTCCACCAATCTGCCAACCACCGCTGGAGTTCTTCCCAACCACCACTAGACTTCCACCCATCTGCCAACTACGATCTTTTCTGGCCTCTATTGTCTCGCTGACTATAGACCTTCCGACCTCCATCGCCTGTCGACTACGATCTTCATGACCCTCGTCATTATTTGACTATGGTTTGCCCAACCTCCGTTACCTGTGGATTACGGTCCTTTCGACCACCGTCACCCCCCTACTATGATAATTCCAATAAACATTGCCAACTATTGTCATCCCGACCTCCATCGTCTATCGACTACAATCTTTTGGACCTTTGTTGTCCACCGACTATGGTCCTCCCGACCTCCATCGCCCACCGATTACGATCATTCTGACCTCTGTCATTTGTCAACTACGGTGCTCCTGACCTCAATTAGCCATTGATTATAGTCCTTCTGACCTCCGTCTCCCACCGACTACTATCATCCCGACCTCTATCACCCCCCGACTATTATCATCCGGACCTCTGTCGCCTTTATACTACAATCTCTTGGACATTCATCATCCTCCAACTATGCTCCTCTAGACCTCTATTAGTAGTCGACTACGGTCCTCTCAACCTCCATCGCCCACTAACTACAATCCTTCTGACTATCGTCACCCACCAACTATGGTACTCCCAACCTCCGTCATTGCCGACTACGGTCCTTCCGACCATCGTCATCCAACTATGGTCCTTTCAACCACTGTCATCCAACTACGGTCCTTCTAACCTACATTGCTCGCCAACTATAGTCATGCCACCAAAATGAATATATCAACACTGATTCTTCCAACTCCTACCATATAATGCACTCTATATGATGTATATTTGCTACTTTGAGCCATGACCTTCCTCCTAAGGAAGGGCCTCATTTGTAATCAATTGCAAATAGTAGTGGATTCATTCAAATTGGGTTGAGCCCCGTGGTTTTTCTCGCTTTGAGAGGTTAAATTTATGGTGTCTTTAATAAAAGCTATAACCATACTCTCTTATCTATTTGTGTGTTGGATCTTTGTACAAAGTTAAGACACTAAATTATATCACTCTCTACCGCCTCGAATATTTTAGGACGCAACACTTCTTTTATAAAATTTTTATCAAATATATTAGAGATTACATAAATGTAATACACTCATCGGAGAATGAACTTGGTGATGGTCGACAAACAGAAAGAGGTCTGACAGTGGTCGAGAAGAACTCTGGGAGAGGTTGACGAACGGAGAAGCTCTGATGGTGGTCGGGAGGAACTATAGTAGTGGTCGATAAACAGATGAAACTCTGACAGTGGTTGGGAAGAACTTCGGTAGGGTCAACAAATGGGCTGAACTCCAATCGTGGTCGGGAGGAACTCTGGCGGTGGTCGACAAATAGGCGAAACTCTAACGTGAAAGTTCTTCAGGGATGTTAAGCCCTTATAAACTAGTCCCGAGTCTAACCAAGAGGGGGGTGGGGGTGAATTGGATATTTAAAACTTTTTTAATTGAAAGAAATGTCTTTTTATATCTTGTAGTGCAAATAAAATCAATCAATAATAAAAAGATTAATCAGATATTTCACCCAAGCAGTTAATCGTAATACAAATAAAATGAAGAAATAATAAAGGAAAGAACACACCAGATTTATAGTGGTTCAGTCAATTTGACCTACGTCCACACTTCGGAGCATCTCCTCCAAGTATTGCACTAAACTTAGTGACTCTCCTTTTGCTCCCACAATAAGGCGGAGAAGCCTTTACAAACCACCTTTCCACCGATACCGGTGAGGCAGAGAACCCAACTCTTTTTATTTCCTCCTGAAGCAGGTAGAGAACCCAACTCCTTTTTCTTTCTTCTGAAGCAGGCAGAGAACCTCGATCAATTGCTGAAGTATACCTCTCTTGAACATCCAAGAAATCAGGGATGACAATCAGAGAAGAAAACTCGGATCCTTGCTTGGAGCAACCTTTTATGAAACCCCTCACAACCCCCCCCCCCCCCCAACCCCCCCCCCCCCCCCCTCACAAGATCCTTTTTCTCTCTCCCTTACTCTCCCTCTCCTCTTAGCTCTCTCAAGCCAAGACAACAGCAAAAGATACAATTTTGGGTAAACAAGAAGTCTTATATAGAAGAGCTTCAAATTTGCTCTTTGTAACACAAACCGACATAATCGTTTTGGACGATCAAAGGATCATCCTGTACGATTAGTACAAATTCAACTCAATCAGCCAGGATGATCTGGGAGAGTCTGGACGATTAAAGGACTTATTTATTCCGATCGTTCTATATGATTAGTTCAAAATCATCGAGTATCGTTCAGAACATCACTCTGATTGCATGTCTGGACGATGGAAAACTAAACTGATCATCCCAGAAGATTAGTTCAAAACATCAAATATCGTCCAAAATATCGCCCTGATTGCATGTCTGGATGATGGAAAAATAACTAACCGTGCAGGATAATTTTATATCATCCCTGATGATTAGTGCAAAATAATACACATAGTCTAAAACAGTGTTCTGGTCGTCCAGGAAGAAACTAATGTATGTTTAACTGATCGTCTCGGACGATCTTGAGATTGTCCAAGATGATAAGATCGAGCAATCAAGCCTTAATTGCTTCCCTTAATTACCAGACTAGTTTAGGCATAATTGCACTACATCGTCCAAAATGATGTCCAAAAATTAAAAACATGCCTAAAATGATCTAGAGACTGATTCTTTCAAATTTGAGCCTATCGTCCAGGACGATGCTAATATTGTCTAAGACGATTTGCTTAACTATGGATGCCTTAACCATGATGCCCTAATTAGGGTTTCTATTTTTTCTGATCGTCTAGGATGATTTTGGATCATCCTGAATGATGTGATAAAAAATAGAAAACTCTAAAATCAGACAGAATTTTTCTCTGTGTGTGTGTAATGTTACTTAGCATTGGGACCCACTTTATTTATAATTGACTCAAAAAAAGTAAAAAAACAACTTAATATCTATTTACAGACAGACTCTGTCCTAATCTACCCAATCTTAAACTGGCTTGATTTGCAATTGACCTTATGGACCTGAAACGTTAATAGGCAAGACAGTCATAGAAAAATAGAAGTGTCAGAAATGTTTGCGATCATCAAAATTATAATTCATGAATCTAGATTTGTAACACGACGGTGGCCGGAAGGAACTCTGGTAGTGGTTAATGAACGGGCCGAAGTCCAGTGGTGGTCTAAAGAAATACTGATGGTGATCAACGAACGAGTGAAAGTTTGGCAATGTTCAGCGACAAGTATGCTCTTAAATTCCTCCCTTTACTTCCTTCTCTTTCTCCCCCCTTTCATTTGAAGAATGTGGACCTATTTATAGGTTTTTGAGAGTGGCATGACTTGCAAATATGGGGAGGATCAAGGTCAAATGAACAATTATTAAGTCAGGTGTCCTGACGTAGCTCTACGTTCGGATGCCAATAACATTTCGTCACGTGCTCTTACTCTTTACTGCACGGCCCGACGACTTGACCCGAACAGGAACCCGGGATTGCTATGTTCATGTATTGCTAGGTATTGCTCGGTATTGCTAGGTATTGCTCAGTATTGATAGGTATTGCTTTACAATAATGAAAAATATCGCTCTGTGAAAATCAATACCGAGCAATACCTAGCAAAACTCGGTATTGCTCTTCACATAATGATATTTCTCGTTATTGTAGAGCAAAATCGACCAATACCTCGCAATACCTAGCAATATGTGAACATAGCAATCCCGGGGCCGTTCCGGGTCGAGTTATCAGGCCGCACGGTAAAGAGTAAGAACACGTGGCACTATTTTACTGGCGTCCGAATGTAGAACTACGTCAGATCACATGACCAAATAAAAGTTCCTTTATGAGACTCCATTGGTATCAACTTATGCTTTGATATTAATGGCTACTTTAGGGTTTGCTTTTGATAATATTTAGAGCTATCTAATATCTCCTCACAATTCTATACAAAACAATCAAACTCATAATGGTGCTGGATTAAACTATTAAATTCTTGCTCACACAATAAAGCACTTGCCCAATTTGTTAAGGTTTTGTTTGGGATTGTTTTCTTTCTACTTGTTAAAGCAACTTCATAGTATAAAAATTAACTTTAAGAAGCAATAAGAAAATCATCCTAAACAAAGCCTGAATTAACATCAATAGATTTGATTTATATTGATAATATTCATTAAAAATTTTTCATAATTTTAGCATTATAGATATCATGATTTATTGTTCAAGGTGATGGTGAAATAAACCCTCCTGAACCTGGAAGGATTCAGGAGCCATCCCTCCTAAACCTTGAGATTATTAATTAACCTTCTATTGTAAGCATATAAATGAACTAACAGGGGACAGATAAAATTGTTAAGACAATCAGAAATGTATGAAAACTGAAGTACAAATTGATTATGAAAAAGTTATATAACAAGAAGCTGTCATTATGTGAGAGATTTACAACACCTAGTACTACTGCATCTATATATGAACATAATACAGGCTGCTCGGCTTGCAAGCAGAACATCAAATACAGCACAAAGAAGCCCCCCATCAAAATTGAAAATTCTGCACAGGAACGAGTACCAAATCAAACTGTAAGTAAATCATCAAATGTATAAAGAGATGAGTGAGGTTAGAATACCGATTTAGCTCTTTTCTTGAGAGTCTTCAATGCGGCTTCGGCAAAAGCCTCAGCTGCTTCGGCATCAGCTTCGGCAGCCTCGGCTTCTCTCGCTGCTTCTTCAGCTTCAGCCATGGCTTCTTCAGCTTCAGCAACTGCTTGAGCAGCAGCAAGAGCTGCTTCCTCTGCGGTCATGTTTCTCATTCTAGCTAATTCAGCATCAATCTGAGGTTTTGTGAGTGCTTTTATGTCCTTCTTATCTACTCTAGGTGGTTCTTTTTGTCTTCCCTCTGGAAGAAAGAGCTTCGATTTGGTTCTTCTATGTTCTGATTGCGGTAAACTTTGAGGTATTCGATATCTGCGTTTCACCTTTAAAGGCAAGCCAATTAATGTAAATAAAGAACGAACTACATTCTAATGGACTTTTCCCAAAGTTTCAACAGAATGCAAGCAGAATAAAGATGAGGAAATACCCTACACTATGATGTTCAAAGCTCATCAAAAGAATTAAACATAATTTCGACTGAAAATTGAATTTCTGATTCCCAAATCAGGTTGGCCAGAAGAGTCTACATTTGATCACAGTAAATTCTAACAGTATAGCAGACAACCGTTACTCTAAAAGGATAGAGCGCAAGAAGATTCTTTTTGGAGCTGCGTTTTGAACGCATTTTATTTTATCGCGTTATAATAAAGTCTATTTGTTTTTCATGAACTTCCAGTGAACTCGATTACCTACTTATTAATATGAGCAAAAAAAATGGAAGTGCACTAAGTTTGTGATGGTTGAATATTATTACAAGCAAATGATAAAATTGATAGCGAATTACAATCCTTTATTTTGGATTTCACTTCTCACCATAATGAAGTTCAATTTCAAGCAAACAACTCTTGACTATAAGAGCACAGATTGATGTATCAATCTGTCTAAAGAGTGTTTTTCACTTCGGTTACCAAACAAACACTTGAACTCAACTTGAAATTGTAATCCCAATCACTTCTACATTTTCCATCAAAACAAACAGCTCTTGGACACATCGGCTATATATAAGAGCATTCGATTGATATATTAAACTGTTCATGAGTGAGTTTTACTTCGGTTAGACATTCATATTACCAACAGTAGTCTATGTATATTGGGGTGGGGAGGGGCTTGGCCCAAGATAGTAATCCGTTTGAGACTACTATTTTATAACTTTGTTTCCAAGAATATTAATACACTTCTGTTTGGATAAACTTTGTTACTTTTCAAAAATTTTTGTGATGAAAAAAAATTTCTAACGAGATTTGCTAATACAATAGTTGTAAGGGAGTAGTAGTTCAAATTTTCAGGAAAAAAAAATCTATAATATACACACAGCAAGTTTGAAAAAGAATCTACTTTTCCACTATAGTTATACAGCTAGAGTTGGAGATGTGCGTGTGGAAGACAAAAACCATTAGAGCAATCAGGCAATCATTCTATAATTATTTTTGTAGATAGTTGTAGCTACCATAAACAGTCCCTACAACTAAAAAATTTATATAAACAAAATTCCAACTGCCATAAAGCACGCGGTATATGAGGTCAAAATAGATGGATAAATAGATCGTAACAATTATATCAACCACAAAAATGCATCATGTGGGCTGTGCCAAAGGGGTCTAGTTTAGATCAACATCTACCCACTGCAAAGGGCATATCTACGTGAGTCCTGTGGAAAGGTGGTTCTTCAAAAGTATAGAATTATTTAAGGGCTGTTTGATTTTAAGTAAAATAATTATTTATATGTGTTTTGAAAATATTGATGTTTGGTTTGCTGAAGAAGACATGCAGAGTAATAAAAAGAATGCAATGCAAAGTGTTTTAGTTTATTTTTTATGTAAACTAGCCCAGTTCTGAAAGAAAATCATTTTCACTGCAAGCAACCTCTCTTGCCATGGCTAGTTGCCTGCCACCACCTCACCACCCCCGCCTCCTGCCACCACTACCACTCTGTCACCGCCACCTGCCACCACCAGTCGCCGCCACCATCTTTGAACTTTAAACTATATTCATTTTACTTCAAACCTAATAAAAAATATATATATTCACCAACATTTATCTTACGCTCATCCAAACAACACCAAAGTATTCCTTTTACAAAGCATTTCTTTTTCAGCCAACCATACGACTCCTTAATCAAGAAATTGTCCTTAGCCAGCAAAGAATTTCACAAGCAGACAAAGTCGGATACAAAAATGCAAATCAACATTACCTATGTCAAACAATCTCTCAAATAATTAACAACACTACCGGACAGTTTCAATCTTCATTTTGCAAACAAATTTCAATCTCACCAAGTCCAAATGATTTCTTATTCCTTGTGAGTTCTAGCATTTGCAAATTAATTTAAAATTAACAGTAACAGATATAAATAAATGAACTAATGAATAAAACCGATCCGGATAGTTCGGAAATGGATAAAGATGCATCTGATGGAGAAAAACAGCATATATGATTCATAAAACACATAATTCAAGAATATTGTGAGTTTTATTTCATTACCTTGGATAATTTCCCATTTGCAGTCAAAGCCTTGAGTTTAATAGATAACAATTTTTTTAAATTTGGCGGAGCAGAGTACTGATCCTGCGTATCAAAAGAGAAGAAGTATGGTATCTTGCTTAAAAACATTATTAAATAATGCCCACTATTGAAAAAAACAATATTCTCTATAAACAACAAAAAGGAGAAAAAACATAAATAAGGCACCGGGCATCCATCCCATATAATTAGCTGAGAAATGTACATCATACTAAAAAATGAACAGCAAATATGCAAGTAACAAAGAAAGTAAAACAATGCCAACTGCTGCATAACAACCAAGCTTAAAGCATTCCATAAATTTTTTTATTCATGGAAAGCACTCTCAATGTGTAGACACCCCATGATATCACGAACATGGAGAACCTACTTTCAAAGTAACTCAACCATATATGAGAGCGTGGCAGAAAATTAAATCACAAAGCAAAGCCCAATATGACATTACCAAATGAAGCCAATTATAGTTTTGATTCATGAAAAATAGGTTATATAACAATATTGCAGCAAAAAGAAAAATTTACAAGCGACTTCAAAAAACTACCCCTCTAAAATTGTAACTTCATTCATCATCCCCAAAACAAACCAAACTTTTCTGAGTAATTCTATGATGTATTAAATAACCTTATTCATTTTGCTCCTCTAAAAAAGTGTATTACTTGAAAATTCTCATTTAGTAATTTATTTGAATAATATTTTCATATTTCCATTTTTTTTTTCATTGTTCAAACGTTATTTTCAACTTTCAATATAATCCTATTGTACTCTCTTAATAAATCTAACTTTATCAAACTCTCCAGATTGAGATTTTGCATGTTTCACTAAAGCCACAATCTTAATTAAACCTTTTGGACTAACTAAATCACCATTTTCTCCTCTAAAGCTTTTAAGCTTTATTGTGCACACAGGCATACATGAAAAAAAACAATCCCGCCACCGCAATACACGGTAAGAATTCTCTCCCATGGCGCTTATTGATCATTCAGGGAAATGCCAAATAAATTATATGAAATTCCTACTCTATTGTAGATAACAAACTCACATCCAGATATAAAGGGAGGACGAGCAGTTATTAAAGAGTAAAATATTACACAAGAAAATAAAAACAGAGAGGAATAGGTGGTACATATAGTTGTTTATAGCACGACATAGCACGCAAACTGACCAACATAGTTAAAAAGTTGGAAGAGAATTGAAGGCATTAATTTGTACCTCTATATACATGGTGATGGCAGTTTTATTGGACCCACTGGGCTCCTTCAAATTAGATATGGCTTCAAATATGAGACTGTCTATCCTACATGCGTTTACAAAGATCAAGCAGGTACTCAAAAGATAAAGTCAACAGCAAATAAAATTAACAAACAAATAGCTTCGTGAAATGGTGCCATTCATACAAATTTCTTCTGATGGCCAAAAGTAGGCCGCATATAAACACATTATTGGAAATTGAAAGGAAAATAAGAACTTTTTTAACACTTTGACACTAATTTTTGGACACATTTTTCATCTACCCTTCTTCATAAATTACCAAATCTATTTTCAACAAATTTATCTTCTCAATAAATGTCATTCCAACTGCCTCTCTAATATAATCATTCCTACTTTTACCATACATTCATCTTAATATCCTCATTCCTCAAAGTTTGACTTAACTAATGATTACTTTTTTTCTATCCATATAATATAATAATCAATCTAATTGCAATTTTAAAAACTACAGCAATATACCATCTTAACATCAACCTATTTGAAAAACCTAGAGTTCCTTTGAATAAGGAATCAGAAAAGGTTAATGCGAGAAGTTTTAAAAGCTACAAAATAGATGTCTTTGGACAATGGAAAAAATGAGCCAACTGATGTTGTGTGTGTGTGGGGGGGGTGGGGGTGGGGGCGGTGAAGAGAATAGTCAAAGGCAAGGCAAACTATTCACCAAACTAAAGCACTAACTTTGATACCAATTTTCTTGGAGCAGTAAGAAGTGGAAGCGGGCTTGCTACAGCAAGAGGTTTAACATCAACAAGCTCATCATTGTGATCATCAACCGCGGTTAGGTCCAAAGGGGCCTCTTCTTGTTTAGGAACCTGTCGGCTCTTTCTCAAGGCCATCCTAGCCTTCTCTCTAGAACCCCAACCATTTGCTGTGACACTCATGTTTCGCCATTTATCCTATCAATTTAGAGAAAAAGTAAGTTTGATCATAAATGAAAATAATAATGATAGTACCAAGTTATCATTTGAAATCCATATGATTATGAATCATGAAAAAACAACAAGCTTCGATATTTCTTTTTGGTTGAAATTAAACAAACACATGAAATCCCAAATAACAAAGCCACAATGGGAGAGAAAACATAAGCAAAACATAAAAATAAATTTTAAATGAAGTCTTATTATGCAGCAAAACAATTAGAAGAACATCAGTCTTAGATTGGTACCTTGAGGTCAACATTTGATCGCAAAGACAAAACACTACTAAATTCTGGATCTTTTAATATTGTGCGCCATTTCCCAGCTCCATGCTTAACAACTCCAGCTTTGAGAGCTGATTCCTCCTCGGATGTCCATTTCTGCTTTGGAGCACCCATTGACAATAGCACAACCACCCTCCCAAAGGAAGTTGAATTTGCCCACCTAATAGCCTATATAGTCTGTGTAAGCATTTCTAAGGACAATATATTACAAAAAAGAAGGATCAGCACTACAAAAAAAAAAAACTCAAATACAAAAAACAATAAATACTACCACCATATTGAACCCCACCTCGTTGTCATGAGAATGAATTTTCCAACATATTTATTTTAACATTAACAGGAAGTATGTACGTACTTATAGCCAAAAAAGTTCCTTAGCATTAACAAGAAGTAGCGGCAAAGGCAGCCTATAGTCTTAATGAAGATTAAAATTGCATGCAGAGACAACAGTACATAATGTTTGATAACTTCAATACAGCAAACAACAGTACATGTCAATAAACTTAAAGCTCCAATAGTTTGATAACTTACTACATTGAAAGCTATCTTTGATTTTAAAAAGACCTTCCAAACTATTAGCTTAAGAACATTTTACTTGGGGGCTATTTGGTTGCAATATTTAGTTAATATTTAGCCAGGATTTAGGCTAAATCTTAACAAACAATTTTCGAACCACATTAATACAACTATTTTCTTAAATTCGGATTTCCTCCTTGTTTAGGCTAAATGTTACCAAGCAATTTTTTTGAGCCAAGTAAATCCTATTATTGTCTTAAATACAACTTTCCTCCCGTTTTAGGCTGAATCATGGATTTGCACAATTTATCCTTGCTGCGCCTTTCTTCCCCTTATTTAAAATTCTAAATATTAAAAATATATACCAAACAATTTACAAGGATTTAACAAGATTCAAAATCTATGATGCCAAAACAGTTTTCTATCACGCCAAAATAGTTTTCAGGATTTAACGCCTCAAGGATTTATTAATATTATATCCTAATAATCAGCTTTCAGGGTTTAAAAAACTCAGCCTTATTGAAGATCAAATTTGCAACATGAGACCAGCTAGCAAGCAATGCACTTCAAAACAGCCAGAAACAGTCCATTCCACTAAATTTAAAGCTCTGATCGTTTGATAACTTACGACATGTAAAGCCACGTTTGACTTCAATACTACAAGAGATTGCTTAAAAAAAAAACTGGTCATAATTCAAATGCCAAGAAAACAAAAGAAATTAGGAAGTAAGCTATCAATATAATTTCGAGACACTTTAACACTCAATCAACTGATTGAAATCGCAAATAATACAAACTGATAGCATAAAATATATAAAGCTGATGGTTGGAAAACTGCACTGTAAACAGACCCTGGTGAGCGATAACAATTGGAAGGAAAATCTAACCAATAAACTAACAAACAAGTAAGCCTAATAAAAGGGGAAATTCATAATAAATAGATGTGGAGAGCAAAAAAAGGAGCGAAAAATCAGAGATCGGGAGGGAGATGTAAACCTTAGGTGGGGATGGCCATTAATCCAGTTCCATAACGCGATATTTTAGGGGAAAGGGGGGTGGAAGAGATGTGTTTGGTGGCTGATGATTCATGCGCACGACCAGAGTTAGGGTTCATACGAAAACTGTTCTAAACATCGATGAAAATCAACGGTGCAGTCGAAATCATCTTGGCCGTGCTTTTTTCATTTGGATGGCCGGGATCGAACTGTTCTTAACGCGTTGCGACAGTTCGCAGCTGAGTAGACAAATGGAAGAAATTTTTTTTTCTTCACGCAGCTCGCTTCATCTTGGCCGGGAGGTTTAAATAGCACAAATTTTTTAACTTTCCACAATATCTATGATTATTAATGATATTGCATAATTTTGTCGATAGATCTAAGAATTGAATCAAGATTAAATTTTGATTGGAGATCGTGCTGTACAATCTAAATCTTACATTCTAATTAAATAGAGAGTTCAATGGATAAAATTTGATTCATCCTTAAGATCCCTAATTCGATATAGGTGACCGTATTCTATGAACAACAAATATGATAGTCTTGACCAAATATCTGCCAATCCTTATTTTTTCAAGATTTGGGTTTGGACATATGGTGATTGCAATCGTTCATAAGTTTTGATTATTTGGAAAAACATTTGTTTTAAATTAATCATTAGTAATTCTATAGCTCTAAAATTTTAAAGAAAAAAAAAAACAGTCTAAAACAAAAAATATATATTTTTAGGATTATTTGCTTTCATAGCATCATTATTGTTATCCAAAATTATTTTTTGTTGCATATTGATTTGTCGCTCTTTAGTTAAAATTTTTAAAGTAACAAATTAACCGTCCTCTTAGTGTGCCATAATATTTTCACAAATATATTTGATCATGGCTTGATGTAGGTTTGAACTTGTTTAAGCACGTATTTGAATATGATTTGATTCATATTCGATCTATGTTCAAATTATATGCTAATGAAGTATTTCTATTAGTGAGTCAATCATCAATATTTTAACATTTTAATGGTAAAGATAAATTGAAGCTGGTTGGACATTAATCGGCAAGTAGAGAAAATGATTGATGGTATAAAAAAATATTTCCTTTTAAAATCTCATCATTCTTATATACACGACGATAGAGGTTAATAAAAAATATTATTTTTCTGAAACTGAAATAGGTGTGTCAATATCTGACCCGATCCGACCCGAAACCTACCTAGAATTGACTCAGAAAATTCCAGGTTCGGTCAACCCATTTTCAATACAGGTCGAGTCTAGGTTTAGTAAACCAACTCGTTTTTAAAATCGGGTTGGTTCATGTTGAACTAGAAACCTGACGCTGACCTGATGATAACCCGCATCTTTTTTTAATTTAGGGTTTAATGGCATTGCAACTTGCATGCGGCGTGCTATGTGCTCAACTATTCTCATTTCTCCACTTAGGAATTTCTGATTTATGATGTCTTGACTCTCGACTCGCGTTCTCTCTTCTTCTCTTTAAGAGCTCGTCTGTTCTCAAATCTAGACCTCATATGTATTGTATACTATGTTTCTCTTGTCGATGCATATAGCCTTCGATGGAGCTGCAGTTTGCCACCTTCCACGTTGGACCTTTTTTTTGTATCTCTTTGCCTATTTTATATTTTAGGGTTATGACTATTTTGTGTTGATAATTTTGGAGGTCATTGGGATTAGAGACTTAGATGGGGTGCAAATTAAATTAAATAAAATGTTTGTTTATAAAATAATGTAAATACAATTTGTAATTTTTATTTTTATAACAATGTAAATCACTAAATGTGATGTATATTTTTAGTATTTAGTTAGTATTTTGCTAGTATTAAAAAAATTAAATTATTGTTAGTATTTTGTTTTTTTTGCTTCTGATACATAACTGAGAAAAAAATATCGTTTGGATTCCTTTTCCTTTTACCGTTCTATAATCTGTGAGATACTCTTGTTTCTAGGTTAGGATTTCTGAAAGCTAAGCTGAATCCTACTCTTGAAAGTTGAATCTATAAGCTATTAAACCATAAATAATTGATGAAAAAATAGTGCTTCTAAAATCTAAGAACTGAAAAATAAATAGTGCTTCTAAAAATCTAAGAAATCTATTTGTTTGCATTTGAATGATGACTAACTGTAGAATCAAAAAATTTCGGCGGAAGAAGCGAAGAAATCAGCGAAAGAATCAAAGAAATGGGCGGAAGAACGAAAAAAATGTCGAAGAAGACTTACCAGAGCACTTAGAATGATGAAAAATGAAGTCCTTTACGGTCGCCTCCTCCAATTCAAGCTTCAAGAACAAAAAATCAAAACAGCCGGAGATGTAGATGGCAATCGCGTTCGTTCGGAGCCAGGGGCGGAATCGTGTTCGTTCAGAGCAGACAGCGGAGCGACCGAGCGAGTATCGCGTTATTTTTTCGTTCGGCGGGGCAAATGTGGAGAAAAATCTGATATTAGGGCAAATTTTAACCTATTGAAGGGCAAATTACCTAACAGCCCTTACACTTAAAGGGATTTTACATTTTTTCAGGGGGGGCAATTGCCCCCCCTGCTGCTACAGTGATTCCGCCCCTGTGCATGAAGCATTAAAAATAGTTGGTTGAATCAAGTTTCTTATCAGCCTGCTCACTAGCTTTAAATGATATTGTTCATGAATATAAAAGAGTTGGAACACATAGTTATTCAAGCTTATTTATTTAACTATCGAGCACTTTACAAAAATATTCAAGATTGTTTTATTACTCAATCAAAAGATTATGAATGAACTACAATTGATCTGAGCCCTGAGTAGTTTGTCGAATGCTCAGGTTATTTGTAGCACTAAGTTTGGACTAGTCTTCACATTCTTATTAATATACCCCTTTAAACCTCTCACCCTTCTACTATAAACTCAAGAACACTTATTATTTTAATCTCATTAATCTCACCAAAGATTGCCCAAAACCATCATATTTGGAATCAAGGTGATTAATATGTGAATTAACAAAACTAGTAAGAACTTTTGGACAACATACAGACAATTTTCTTTTTACAAGCTTTCCTCCAAAGGCTTGTGATTCACTATAGCAAGTTTTGGGTTAGTAGATGCTTTGTATGATAAATTTGTTTTATATTAATACCTTGAATGCATAGTATATTTCTTACAAGTATATAGTGTAAACACAAAATTCAATTAGTAAAGCCTGATAATTTTCCATTGTTAACCTATTAATAAACTTTTATCTTGAGTGAAATCTTAGTAAGAGTGTGCTTCACCTCAAGAAAATTATAATAGTACATTGATGCATGCAAAATTTTATGTAACCTTCTTTATCTTTGGTGTTAATTTCTTATTGTAAGCGTGATTATTTATTTGTTAAAATTTAAATAATTTATCATCTTAATGGCTCGGGCTTATAGACCTAAGCATATTTTTCTTACATTCATTTGCATAAATATATATTCATATAAAATTAGTATTTTTAAAGTTAAAAATTATCAAAATAGCTTAAACGCCTAATAAGGGCTTGAGAGGTAAGAGGACTTTTATGCCCTTTACACTTGGAAGTTAATTTAACTTAAAATTTATTTTATTTTATATTTATATTTTAAATTTCACACTCTATCATCTATACCCCTTTTCTCCTCATCTCTCTCTTCAGCTTTAAAAAAAAATCTCACAACACCTAAATTAGTTTCCTCAAACCAGATTGAATATTTAACTCAATGGTTGATTCCTTAGACATTAGGACTCATGAAAATGAAAATAAGATTAAAAATCATTTAAGTGAATAAACCCAAATGTAATAACTTAAAGATCAAATATAAGCTATCTTGAATCATCTACAAAATAATAAAAATTATGGCCTATGTCCTACCCAAAATCATAAATTATAGTGCTTTTTACATAGACTGATGAGAAGACCAATCATAAATGATGGTGCTTTTGAAAGTTAGTTAGGGATGTTAGGCCCCTTATGAACTGGCCCAAAGCTAATTAATAGAGAGGTGAATTGGTATTTTAAATATCTTTAAAACAAAACTTAAACCAAACTAAAATTCACCACAATGAAAACACAATGAATAAATTAATTTTGAAAATAATAAAGGAAAGAACACATCAGATTTATAGTGGTTCGGTCAAACCTTGACCTACGTCCACTTCTCGGAGGCACCCTCCGAGTATTGCACTAAACTAAGTGTCTCTCCTTTAGCCCCCACAGCTAGGCGGAGAAGCCCTTACAAAATCACTTCCACTTTTCCCGGTGCGGCGGAGTCGCCGGGTACTTTGACACCAAAGAGATATTCTTCTTCTGTGAACTTCCCTCAAGATAAGCATTGAATCCGACGATACTAAGGTGCAAGCTTGCTGGCGCAACCGTGTGGAATGCCCCTCCACACTCCCTTGAGTCCCCCCTCACAGGATCTTCTCCCTCTCTCAAACTACACCCTTTCCTCACTCCCTTTCAAGCTCTCTTAAATTTTCCCCCAAAAGAATGAAGCTACAATGGCTGCCAAAGACGCTTACAAAAGTGCCATGTCAAAAGCTTAAATTGAAGATCTCAAAAAGAGCTCATTAATGCAACTTGCCGACTTTATCAACCAAGACGATAGGAATATCGTCCTGGCCAATTAGTATAAAGTAAGCTCAATCAGCCGGGATAATTTGGGACAATCAGAAGAAAATTGGTTACATCATCCAGGCCGATATAATATCGTCCTGTCCGATTAGGTCAAATCTGAGTACAATCATCCTGGACATCGCCCATAATAGAGTCTGGCAGATGTTAATCGTCCAGGCCATCATCCTGGCCGATATTGACCTGCATATTGATAGCATCGCCGTGCTTTGATTTTAGTTGTAGGCTTTGGTGACCTGCTGGGCTTTGTAAGCTCATTATATGTGGTTTAAATTTTTAGGTCCGAGCAAGACAACTAGAATGGAGTTCGATCAGAATGTCAGACGAATCCTTTCACTATTTGATTCTGGGGCGTTACATAATTGTGCTGCATCGTCCAAGCTCTTAACATATACAAGAAAGCTTTTATGTGATCTATTATTGATATTTGATGGATTAGTCCATATAATAGTGATATGTTTAAATGGATAGTCAATGCTTTTAATTCATGAATAGGTGCCTTTAGAAAAGAGGTTTTTAAGGTTTCCCAAGAGATAATGTATCCAAAACTTCATTTTTGTCATTAAATATTATAGAGGCTTCACTAATCATCCAAACAAAATCTCCATCTACTTCTTCTAAGTCATCCTGACATAATGGCAACTCCAAATAAATACAACTCAAATACCCATTCATAACATCCT